TAGACTACAAGGTAGGGGATACCAAGATGGGAGTATATGGTGGTAGACTACATGGTGGGGATACCATGATGGGAGTATATGGTGGTAGACTACATGGTGGGGGATACCACGATGGGGGTATATGGTGGTAGACTACATGGTGGGGGATACCATGATGGGGGTATATGGTGGTAGACTACACGGTGGGGGATACCATGATGGGGGTATATGGTGGTAGACTACACGGTGGGGGATACCATGATGGGGTATATGGTGGTAGACTACATGGTGGGGGATACCATGATGGGGATATATGATGGTAGACTACACGGTGGGGGATACAATAATGGAGAGTATATGGTGGGGGAAACCATGATGGGGGTATATTGTGGTAGACTACACGGTGGGGGATACCATGATGGGGGTATATGGTGGTAGACTACATGGTGGGGATACCATGATGTGGAGTATATGGTGGTAGACTACATGGTGGGGGATACCATGATGGGGGTATATGGTGGTAGACTACAAGGTGGGGATACCATGATGGGGGTATATGGTGGTAGACTACATGGTGGGGATACCCTGATGGGGGTATATGGTGGTAGACTACATGGTGGGGGATACCATGATGGGGGTATATGGTGGTAGACTACATGGTGGGGATACCATGATGGGGGTATATGGTGGTAGACTACATGGTGGGGGATACCATGATGGGGGTATATGGTGGTAGACTACAAGGTAGAGGTAACATATTATCTTTATGATACAAAGCTGATTAGGTTGCTGTTTCAAGTACTTACTTATTGATCGCACTTTTAATTTTTTCATGTTTAAATCGTTTATCATATATTTGTCACAGGCCTCGTCTTCATGTCAGCACACAAAGTTATTCCGGACCTGTTTGGGAAACAGAATACCCGGCTTATCGCTAGTTTGGTGTCATGTATGACAACACTCCCGACGTTGACAGAGTCACTTTATACTGGTAAGTTTATATAGAATCCAGTTTGTTGGGTGTATGACATCACTTCCGACGTTGACAGAGTCACTTTGTACTGACAAGTTTATATAGAATCCAGTTTGTTGGGTGTATGACATCACTTCCGACGTTGACAGAGTCACTTTGTACTGACAAGTTTATATAGAATCCAGTTTGTTGGGTGTATGACATCACTTCCGACGTTGACAGAGTCACTTTGTACTGACAAGTTTATATAGAATCCAGTTTGTTGGGTGTATGACATCACTTCCGACGTTGACAGAGTCACTTTGTACTGACAAGTTTATATAGAATCCAGTTTGTTGGGTGTATGACATCACTTCCGACGTTGACAGAGTCACTTTGTACTGACAAGTTTATATAGAATCCAGTTTGTTGGGTGTATGACATCACTTCCGACGTTGACAGAGTCACTTTGTACTGACAAGTTTATATAGAATCCAGTTTGTTGGGTGTATGACATCACTTCCGACGTTGACAGAGTCACTTTGTACTGACAAGTTTATATAGAATCCAGTTTGTTGGGTGTATGACATCACTTCCGACGTTGACAGAGTCACTTTGTACTGACAAGTTTATATAGAATCCAGTTTGTTGGGTGTATGACATCACTTCCGACGTTGACAGAGTCACTTTGTACTGACAAGTTTATATAGAATCCAGTTTGTTGGGTGTATGACATCACTTCCGACGTTGACAGAGTCACTTTGTACTGACAAGTTTATATAGAATCCAGTTTGTTGGGTGTATGACATCACTTCCGACGTTGACAGAGTCACTTTGTACTGACAAGTTTATATAGAATCCAGTTTGTTGGGTGTATGACATCACTTCCGACGTTGACAGTCACTTTGTACTGACAAGTTTATATAGAATCCAGTTTGTTGGGTGTATGACATCACTTCCGACGTTGACAGAGTCACTTTGTACTGACAAGTTTATATAGAATCCAGTTTGAAAATCTTTGTTTAATATGGAGGCTTTGTTTTCTTTAATTTCATGAATTTCTTGAAAAGTGGTACTCCTTTACCAATTAACCACCGCGATTGATATTTAATATCACGTGATACAAATCACTTATCTGTGATAAGGCGTTGTCTGTGACACAGTTACAATTACATTATATAACAAACCAGCGATCTATTATAAATGATTGTTCGATGACTAAATACTGATTAAATTACCCTTGAAGAAATTTATAAATAACATCCCTGCATGCCGTAAAAAGTGCCTAGTTGTTAAACAACCTTGGCAGGTTGGGTTGATTTTTCCGGCGATTTACGGGAAAAAGGAGAACACAAGAATACAAACTGATGCATGACGTAACTCTTATTACAACTAATTATTACATTAAACGTAACAGTTGCCCCGCTTAATGTAATAATAATAACTTTATTACATTAAGCGTAGCCGTTACAACGCTTATTGTAATAATTATTACATTAAGCGCCGTTATACATTAAGAGTTGCATCAAAGCATTCCACTGCATGACAGTACAAGGCATCTAAAATAGATTTTTTCCATCGGGTCTTCTACCAAGAGGACATAAAAGAGACCAAAATAAATTTACTGTTCCTATTGCAACACTCGCGTCCTTATCCTGTTTGTTTTTTCTTCCTCTGTTCAGGTCTATCACGTGACACTTGTCCTTATAACACTGGCTGTATCTTTATTTCTAAAAATATCAAAGAAACGGATATATGATATTTCAAAATTAATAGACAATTACGATGTTCTGTATGTAGGTCTGATGGGTTTGAGACCAGCACTTCGACAAATTACCCACACTTTCTTTTCACCTATTTGCAGATTTGTTTGGGAAGAGTAGCATTGAGAGGTTCGTTCATGCAGGGATCCTAATACTTTCTGCTGGTATCTGTGCGTTGGTCATAGCAAAATGTGCATCTTCACGTAGAACACTGTCCATTAGTGACGGTGATACTAGTCAGGATGGGGACCGGGAAAGGGATACAACGGAAGACATCGCAGAGGCTTAAAAACATGTGAGGAATCTGCAAACATTCTGCTTTACATCTTGTACATCAAATAACGTTCAGCTGGATAATGATCTTGTAATAAAAACATAGTCACTCGTAGAATACCACAAATATGGATGCTTTATCAGAGACATGAAACGGAGAGATTGATGCAAACGGGTGACTGACATCTGAAAAGTGGAGTGGTTCAGACAAAACACATGTACTAGATGTTCTTTGCGGTCATTCAGTATTTAATCTTTTTTAAGTGATCATTTTTGGCACTACTGAATCTCCCCATTAGGGGTTTGACATTTATCTCCGCCAATTTGATTTTCCTTCGGCGTCTCCGAGATTTTACCAATATAGGCCTTTAGTATCACTGACAAGTCCTAAAGAAATGATGAGTGTAGTTTAATTCATTGTGACTCTCCTGTATTAGTATGTATTTTTTTAATGCGTGTCGTTTGTATAACTTATTACATATATTCCTATGACAATAAAATTCATCAGAAAAAACATAACATCTTTTCATATTTGTATAATCATATAGACATTCATGAAATTAAACCTCAATTTTCTTCTTTGAATTAAGAATACTCGTGGGATCTTCCCTCGGTTTAATGTTAATCACTCTCATTGTCCAACATAAGTCATTCTGAATTAAAATGTTTTAAAATATATGTGGATATATTCTCAAAATGTATTATTTGTTACCATGTCTAACTGCTTTTGCAATTCCAATACCTATAAATAAAGCTTTAATGTAAATGTCTGAATTTTACTAAGTCGTCTTTATTATCATAATCTTATTTATTTCTGGTAACACATTTGCTGGCATGCGATTCCAACACAGTCTATGTTATCCGAACCTCAATAAAGTGCATCAGCGATGGTAAATGTCAAATTGTATATGTACATTTGGAATGGAATACGATGTTTATCCAATATTGTGACTGAAATCAATAGATTCAATCCAAGCCTCCAATATCTGGGTTATTTTGTCATCCAAACAGCTTTCAGCAACTACAGATCATAAAGGTCCGCATTAGCTATATCAAATCAGATCAGATACACTCCTGAAGCATTTTATATTTCGGTCACAGCTACATCATAAGTACAATCTTCCTCGATACTCCAGGGGTTACGATCACTTTCGCTTTCTGCACCCTTCGAACCATCCTCGATTCTCCGGGGGTTACGATCACATTCGCTCTCTGCACCCTTCGAACCATCCTCGATACGCCGGCGATTACGATCACTTTCGCTCTCTGCACCCCTGGAACGTGTCATTGCAAAATCGAAAGCAAAAGGGAAGTCATTTGATTGGTTCCACGAGGAAAAAATCTGACCATGCTCCTTTTGGAGATTACAAACGAGCGACACCCAACTTCAAAGCCTGTAAAAACATACTGTTATGCGACCTCGAGATACGTTTGATGTACATCAAAGGATAAAACAAGTGTTTTCATCTTGTCCACAAGGTGTTGCTCATGGAACCTTCAGTTTTGCCGTGACATTGTTCCTGGGGCGCAGAGAGCGAAAGTGATTACGGCCCCTGGAGTGTCGAAAATGGGACATAATATAAATAAAACACAAACACAAGTAAAAGTTTGGTAAATAAAGCATTTTATTAGTTATCGGGAAGGTTGATTAAAAAAAAAAGCCGGTTGTAAAATGAGGAGCATTGCAACAAGGAAGACATGGAAAGTGGAAGCTACTTCAGATGACTTAAACCGGGTACGTTTTAACCGGGTGCGTCTGAAAACGACGATAAAAACTTACAGGATTTCAACCCTTTAAATAAAATGATCTATCTATGCCGGGAAAACGATGGTTGAATATTGAAATAAAAAGTCAAGTACGATTAAGTACACACATCAATCTATATACAATACTCTGTAGTGGGAACTTCCTAAATGATGGGCACTGCAGGAAGTGACCGGACGATACTATAATATACATGTCAGTTTGTATGTTATCTCACAATATGTGTAAGTTATAATCAGAGGGAAATTCCGCCGACAGGGGGCGTCTAGTTAACAACGGCTTGGTTTAGTTTGTATGGGATCTGTTAAATTTTGGCCATATATGGTGGTAGGCAGTGACCAGAATGAATACATACATCAACCAACACACTACAGTTCAAAGTATGGAGAACTCGAACGACTGGGATGATGATTATCAAGAGGTCAGTTTGTTTACAACAAAGCAAGTTTTTTTAAAGATAAACACAACTTAGTTCACATCTTATCCTAGAACAGTGTTTTATTGTGCTGATTTCCATGTAATAATACATTCTCATGACATTTTTCGCCTGTGAAAACTTACACTTAGGGGTAGCTATGCATGGAAGCCTCTTAACATTTATGGTTGGCTACCTATGAGAACCCCTTTATAGTAAGGGTTGACTATATGTGATAACCCCTTTATCGTAAGGGTTGACTCTATGTGATAACCCCTTTATAGTAAGGGTTGACTATATGTGAGAACTCCTTTATAGTAAGGGTTGACTATATGTGATAACCCCTTTATAGTAAGGGTTGACTATATGTGATAACCCCTTTATAGTTAGGGTTGACTATATGTGATAACCCCTTTTATAGTAATGGTTGACTATATGTGATTACCCCTTTATTGTAAGGGTTGACTATATGTGATACCCCTTTATAGTAAGGGTTGACTATATGTGATAACCCCTTTATAGTAAGGGTTGACTATATGTGATAACCCCTTTATAGTAAGTGTTGACTATATGTGAGAACCCCTTTATAGTAAGGGTTGACTATATGTGAGAACCCCTTTATAATAAGGGTTGACTATATGTGAGAACCCCTTTATAATAAGGGTTGACTATATGTGATAACCCCTTTATAGTAAGGGTTGAATCTATGTGATAACCCCTTTATAGTAAGGGTTGACTATATGTGATAACCCCTTTTATAGTAATGGTTGACTATATGTGATTACCCCTTTATAATAAGGGTTGACTATATATGAGAACCCCTTTATAATAAGGGTTGACTATATGTGATAACCCCTTTATAGTAAGGGTTGACTATATGTGATAACCCCTTTATAGTAAGGGTTGACTATATGTGATAACCCCTTTATAGTAAGGGTTGACTATATGTGATAACCCCTTTATAGTAAGGGTTGACTATATGTGATAACCCCTTTATAGTAAGGGTTGACTATATGTGATAACCCCTTTATAGTAAGGGTTGACTATATGTGATAACCCCTTTATAGTAAGGGTTGACTATATGTGATAACCCCTTTATAGTAAGGGTTGACTATATGTGATAACCCCTTTATAGTAATGGTTGACTATATGTGATAACCCCTTTATAGTAATGGTTGACTATATGTGATAACCCCTTTATAGTAAGGGTTGACTATATGTGATACCCCTTTATAGTAAGGGTTGACTATATGTGATACCCCTTTATAGTAATGGTTGACTATATATGCGAGCATCTTTACACTGAGGATTGACTACCTGTGAGAACCTCTCTACAAACAGGGTTAACTTCCTATGATAACCTTTTTACACTTAGAGTTGAATACCTATGATAACCTCTTTACACTTAGAGTTGAATACCTATGATAACCTCTTTACACTTAGAGTTGAATACCTATGATAACCTCTTTACACTTAGAGTTGAATACCTGTGATAACCTCTTTACACTTAGAGTTGAATACCTGTGATAACCTCTTTACACTTAGAGTTGAATACCTGTGATAACCTCTTTACACTTAGAGTTGAATACCTGTGATAACCTCTTTACACTTAGAGTTGAATACCTATGATAACCTCTTTACACTTAGAGTTGAATACCTGTGATAACCTCTTTACACTTAGAGTTGAATACCTGTGATAACCTCTTTACACTTAGAGTTGAATACCTATGATAACCTCTTTACACTTAGAGTTGAATACCTATGATAACCTCTTTACACTTAGAGTTGAATACCTGTGATAACCTCTTTACACTTAGAGTTGAATACCTGTGATAACCTCTTTACACTTAGAGTTGAATACCTATGATAACCTCTTTACACTTAGAGTTGAATACCTGTGATAACCTCTTTACACTTAGAGTTGAATACCTATGATAACCTCTTTACACTTAGAGTTGAATACCTGTGATAACCTCTTTACACTTAGAGTTGAATACCTGTGAAAACATCTTTACAGTTAGGGTTGACTACCTACGAGAACCCCTTTATAGTAAGGTTTGCTTACCTATGAATGACCCTTTACAGTTCGTGTTGAACATACATACATACATACATACATACATACATACATACATACATACATACATGTGTATTATTCTATATGTTGAATCCTAAGTGGTAGGCAAAGTCCATGACTAAGAATCGATTGGTCAACAGACAAAATTCCTGAATACGTAGCCAATTAGTTAACTAGTCAAAAATTCTGATCACGGTGTTTACTTGACTACAGGTAGGAAACCTTGACAACAAATGAGACGAGCGAAAATTACGAGTCGCATTGTAAAAGGTACATATGTCATAAAACTTTTAAAAAATACCATCGATTCATTCAAAACAATTCTATTGAAGGGTTATGAAAGGGTCGGTCCACCACGGCCTACAATTAGAAATGTGAGGAGCGAAAGCGGACCTGACGTGCCAGCGGAAACAGTTGAAGTACTTAATGCGACCGGCAATGTGAGGCGGAGGAAAATACTGATTCTAGTGGGGTGCACACTAATAAACTTTTGTCAATCAGTTGTGTTTGCCATGGCAGTGTTGGGAAAAATTAATTCAGATCTTACTAACGAGCAAGCAGACGACATACGAAAAGCATTATTGATTACACGACGTTTGGGAGGTAGGTAATTTCCGTGAAAACGATAATTTACAAATCTCTAGACTAAGGTACAGTGGTTGATGTCAACGTTTTCTTTTATTAATTCAAATAAATGGTTTTTCGTAGAAAAATGTTCCTCAAACTTTTTAGTAAGCATGTAGACTGATAGTAGTAAACTAACAGTGAATAAGGTATTTCTTACTACGTTGAACCTTAGCTGTTTTATATGACGAACAGTTTCGTGTGGGGTAATTATGATTCATGATGGTTATCAATATCACTTTATTATGATATTTTCTTCCCCAACAAAGTTCCGTTTGCATCCCTCCTTATGATAGGCCTGGGCTACCGAATTGTTGGGATCGCCGGATGTTCCCTTGTCGGACTTGGTCTATTTATAGCTGCCTGGGTACCACGTGTGGCAGTAGGTGGTATCACGTTTCTGGTCGGAGGAGTGGCAGGTAATCCATGTCTTTACAGCCGGTCGTTTCTCTCGATAACTGTAAGACTGAAATCGGATTTACATTAATACTTTTGGACCACATAGTGACCTTTTCCTTTGTGTTTAATAGTTATAGAAACAACATGTATTTCGATTCTATTTCAATAGAGATATGACAATCTCGGGTTTCAATAGAGATATGACAATCTCGGTTTTCAATAGAGATATGACAATCTCGGGTTTCAATAGAGATATGACAATCGACGTTTTCAATAGAGATATGATAATCTCGGGTTTCAATAGAGATATGACAATCTCGGTTTTCAATAGATCTATAGCAATATAAGTTTTCAATAGAATTAGGAGAATCTCGGGTTTCAATAGAGATATGACAATCTCGGGTTTCAATAGAGATATGACAATCGACGTTTTCAATAGAGATATAATCTCGGGTTTCAATAGAGTTATGACAATCTCGGTTTTCAATAGATCTATAGCAATATAAGTTTTCAATAGAATTAGGAGAATCTCGGGTTTCAATAGAGATATGACAATCTCGGGTTTCAATAGAGATATGACAATCTCAGTTTTCAATAGAATTATGACAATCGACGTTTTCAATAGAGATATGATAATCTCGGGTTTCAATAGAGTTATGACAATCTCGGTTTTCAATAGAGTTATGACAATCGACGTTTTCAATAGAATAATGACAATCGACGTTTTCAATAGAGATATGACAATCTCGGGTTTCAATAGAGATATGACAATCGACGTTTTCAATAGAATTATGACAATCGACGTTTTCAATAGAGTTATGACAATCTCGGGTTTCAATAGAGTTATGACAATCACGTTTTTAATAGAGTTATGACAATCTCGGTTTTCAATAGAGTTATGACAATCGACGTTTTCAATAGAGTTATGACAATCGACGTTTTCAATAGAGTTATGACAATCTCGGGTTTCAATAGAATTGTGACACTCTCAGTTTTCAATAGAGATATGACAATCTCAGTTTTCAATAGAATTATGACAATCGACGTTTTCAATAGAGATATGACAATCTCGGGTTTCAATAGAGATATGACAATCTCAGTTTTCAATAGAATTATGACAATCGACGTTTTCAATAGAGATATGACAATCTCGGGTTTCAATAGAGATATGACAATAAAAGTTTTCAATAGAGTTATGACAATAAAAGTTTTCAATAGAGTTATGACAATCTAAGTTGCCTTTAACAAAATTTCCAACGGTATGTTTATAAAAAACAATGTAACAATTATTATCGTTGGTTGACGGGTTTTTTTATTTACCCTATCAACAATATGTTGGGTGTGCCAATTTTTATTTCAACTTTATCCCTACAAAATCACATCGGAATAATCAAATATTTAATTTGTTTAAACTGATAAGCTTGAAATCAAACCATTTCATATTTGTATTAGTCCACTTAAAGCATTCTACGTCATCTTAGTATAAGGAATTTCAAAAGTTGTTTCTGTTTTGGCAATCGAAATGATAACATGTTGTTATCTATTGCGCAGATCAAGAAACACAACCGTGATAAACCGGTTAAGTTGCTATTTAGTGTACTTGAACAGTGACATTAAATGATATTAAATTCTTTATATATCCCTTTTTCATGACAATAAATCAGAATTTCGTTTGCTTTATTGCTCAATCCTTTGCTGTTTCAGGTCTTGGTTTCGCATTTCTCTCATTAACTGTCATCATTCCTATTTTGGAGACTTTCACTAAACACCGACTGAGATATGTCGTACTGATAAGGTCGGTGGAATCAGTTGCGGCCACTGTGTTTGCAGGCATTACCTTAGTACCGGATATTGACATTGATTGGCGGATCTTATATCGTTACCAGCTAATTATCATGGTGATTGCGGGGGCCGCTTGTGTGCTTCTGAAACCTCTAGACCGTACCACAGTTGACACAAACAATGGAGTTATTGGTCGTTTGCTTGGCCTATCAGATTTCAGTATTTTTAGAGGCGTGGCGCTGTATCTACTAGTGATAGTTTATTTCTTGGACCAGCTTGGTGTGTATAGAGTTTATTTCCTCGTATCTTGATCGTTTATCATTCATTCATTCATTATATATCTATCTATTTATTTATTTGTTTCTTTTTGCCGCAGTGTCTTTATACCTAGGGATCAGATATTTTCGGATGCTGCCAAGGGCCTTCAACAACCAAGTTAATCAACAAAAACACTCTTAGCTATAATAAGATTTGAAGAACAAACATTACATGGAATCTCCGTAATATTGCTATTAATAACTTATCAAAAATGTTACTATCTCATATCTCGTAATTATTTTTAGTATCCAGAAACAATATTTCTCAAATTTCAGGCAAGCCGATTCCTGTGTATGAACTATCATCTCTGCTACAGGACCCCACGAAGGGGTTTGGGACCGATCTTTCTGTACGAGTAATCGTTACTTTGCCTTTTATTGGAAGTTTGTTGGGACTTTTGACACTCGTTTTCTGGCACAGGTTCAGTCTTGTGGACATCCTATGGACACTTGGACCAGTCAACATAGTGTCCGGACTTCTGACCTTCCAAGCCCCTGCTCTGAGCAAGGTGGCCTGGGTAGCCGTGTATGCTGTAGGGTTTGGCATGTCAATAGGTAAATTCATTTCGTCCATTTGTCCGTATCACTGTTCCTTGTTTACAAGCTGGTTTTAGTTCTTTAAAACTAGGACATTGAAAAACTATATTTATATTCAAGAGTTAATTAAATCCGTATCGAAAGAAGAAAAAAATAACCGACAAAGCAATCTAAAATCTTTATATCAATAAATGTTAATTTTCATGGAAATTCGCGTTTGGAAACAGCCAAGGTCCAGGTATCTGATATTGACGGTATTGATAATAATCGCTTGATTTATGCCTACAACTGAATGTTTGTTTTAAATAATTTTGTTTGTTTGTTTTTCCAATGTTTCTTATATCAGGTGTCTTTCTCGCCCTCGTTGACAACGTGATACCTCATGCGTTTGGGAAACAGAGAATTCGAATTGTAGAGGGAATCCTGGGATTAGCTTCCGGTGTTGGGCACGTCATATCCTTTCCTGTTAATGGTACGTATTATCAATGTCCAAAATTGATCAACTGGAACCCCAAAAAATTATGTCATTTACCATAACTGTTATTTTGTGATGATCGTCACGTTTGCTTTGTCATTAACAAACCTAAGAAATCAGTCATATTTTCCCCCATGAATTGACACGAACCGATAACAGAAAATGGTGCTAGAATGGTGACGGTGCAATATTTGATATATAAACATGACAATAGCTAATTAGTATCCTATCTATATATAATTTTTCCTCGACCTACAGATGCACTCAAGATACAGACAAATGATTATGAGCCTTCTTTCTACTTATCGGGATCAGCTCTCATCACTTCCGGTTTGTTAGCAATTGGTTTCCGGTTTGTTTTGTTACGTCAGAATAATAAAAAGGAAAACGATCGGTGACAGCAACATACTAACAAAATAAAACCGATTGCCAATTTTTATGCCTGTAGGGCTGGCAAAATAATTACCATTATTATACTTGGTCTTTTAATACTGCTTTTATAGATCTCTAACTGATGTTAAGTCTCAATGAAATCAATGATCCGACAAATTGACTTTAATTACATTTTTTTTCTTTATGCTGTATTACATTATTATATGGAAAACTGTATGATAATGTTTATAGCGAAACCCGTTAATAATGCATCCTTTCGGTGATGGGTACGAACACTATCACTGGAGGGGTTGGAATGGCGATCAAAAAAAAAAAAAAACAAGAGCTTAAATGAAGCCAAACTTTCATATTTATGATATGTTGACGGATCAATGATCATTTGATTGTTTTTTGTTTTTGTTTTGTTTTAGTGTTTATATATATATAATATCTATATAACATAGTCTTCGAATCTTACCCATGTGTGTCTTTAACTGAACCCCGCACGCACGCACGCACGCACGCACGCACACACACACACACACACGCGCGCGCGCGTATATATATATGTAATAGGATCTATATTTGGATTGTGAGTAATTATATCCTTAACCAGTTATTAATGAATGATTAGTATGAATGTATATATATTGTAGGTATTAGGTTTGTTAATAAGCTATATAGTTTGTCTAGCGTGTAAGATGATGTAAGGACCTCGGTAACTTTGGTAGACTTTCCCACATTTTTAGTGGGAAGAGTCCATTGTGGTCTACAGTGGTGACAGATCACATGGAATTGTCTGTGTGAACGGGAGTGAGTTTGTGAGTTGTTATGACACCTGACTAGGGACAGGCCATATAACTGGTCAGGGCAGGTGCCTTTGTTTACCTGGGTTATAGGGCTTTGGCCACCAAGGGCACTCTGCTCCTGACCAGTAACAACAAAACCTGTTTTCGAGTTAGAGAGAACTAAATTATTTATATGGTAAATTTATTTTATTTGTTTAATATATTTTCGGATAACCAATACTTCTGAAATTGTAGGCAATCTCCTATTTTGTATTTCAGTTGAGGTTATGCAATTTTATCGTATTGAGTTATTCTCATAAAGATATGGACTTTTTGGCATTAAGCAATTTCAAAGTTAAAGTGACTTGTAGTCTGCAAATATTACAGTATCCTTCTGGTTAAATTCTATCTCTATGTATTTACATTATATTCATAAATATCCAAGTATTTATGAGGTAAAGCCATTACTTTATAGAAAAAAATCCTGGTTGGATAATCCAGGCTATTAGCATTATGGGATACCCTTAAGAACTTGCCTCTACACCATAGCTGTGGTGTGAGTGTCTGATGGGTTCAGAATGTTTTTGAGCTATGTCTGTGTTTTTAACTAAATATGTGTAAATTGTGCGAGTTAAAACAATAGGTTTGTAAAGAATAATATTTATATATTTTCGTAAAGAACATGGTAACAACCGTTTAGATTTTATAAATGAAGTTATATCTTCATTTGTAAGATTTGTAAATTATATTTTACCAATTACCATTGTCCATACACATTTGATGGGATAGAACAGGCCTGTTCTATAACAGCAGTTATTGTCCTTTACTACACATTGTACATTTGTATGCAAGTATGTGAAGTATGATAGTTTTTGTGTAAAACATATGTGTTTTATTTGTTTTGTTGACCACAGCAAATTTGTTTTAAAAATGAAGAAATAAAGACGGAAATAATCGAACTATTGAGCCTGTTTTGTAACAAAAGTGAACACCATATATATATATATATATATACATACATATATACCTGAAGATGGCCGCGAGGCCTGAAAACGTTAGTGATATATTTGTTTGTCATGTTAAGTGATTAATTTTCTCTGTATATACGATACACAAAGCTTTTATCTTTTTAAATTATATATATATATGATCTTGTTAATAATATTGACGGTATGGTCCAATATTGGTACTGGATCCTAACAAAAAAATGTACATTGGATGCGTATAACTGGAATAGATATACGATCAATTAAAGTAATAATGACAGTACGGACTAGTCTTGATAAAGGGTAAGATTGCCTCGAAAATGTGACAATTCACTTAAGTGCGTGCTGTCGTTATAACTTCATATTCTCGTAAAAGTCACATTAGGAGGACATCATGTAAATACATAATTTAGATGGACATTGATATTACTTCCTTGTTTTTACATCAAATCGGTTTGAAGCAAAGCAAGAGCATTTGTTAAGGACCATCTCTGGATCATTTCAGGCAAGGCTGAATCCCTCTGATGAAACTGGAGGAGCGTAATATTTATTATGGAAAGTTTATTTCAATCACATATAAACATGTCATCAGACAAAACACATGGCTATTGGTCATCGTGACCTAAAATCAGATGACCTTACGAATTGTACATTACTCACGTCTACTGGCCATCATAAAATTAGCCCAGGCATCCATTCAGCAGCCCCATTGTCTAGACTGTTTTTCAGTCTTTTCGTCTTCTGTAAAAATTTTTTCTATGTAACGATAAGTTATTGCCTTATTCCAGTATGTTGTAGAAGGAGAAATTCTGTTCATTGAAATGAAAAAAAAAAAAAAAAAAAATGACTTCGTAGTAACCATCTCGGATTTGGCAGTTAAATAGCATCGCAATTTCTGCAATGGGTTAATGTCCAAATGTCTTTTCATTGAGGGCAAAAACAGAAGAGAAGGGAACATATCCAACTTTTAAAAGAAAAAATAAAGATCAAACACTAGAGGGCGCCATGTCCTTCTGTGTTTTCTTGTTTGTAATTCTCTAATCTGTATGTATGCCAATGACTAAATGTTCATGTGTCATAAGACGGAATACATTGATGAATAAAGATTTACAGTGGAAACGAAGATTTCATCACAGATGGATATAACTGAGAGTGAATCGGAACAAGAAACCATTTGGAGTCATATACATTATAAGGGTGGAGTTTGAAAATCCTCTCCGAGAGTGTGCAATCTTTGTGACTATTATCCTGTTAGGTTTTATGACTTAGATTCGGATGTTTGTAGAGTACTCTCTAATATGTAAGCAAACTGTACATGTGATTTTTGAAATCCTTGTGAGGAGATTTTACATATGGCATTATGTGCAAATTATAATGTTGACTGCTCCCATGGATGAAAATCTTTCAGGAGTAAAAAAAAAAAAAGTGCTTTAAATTTTTAAGTCATATAGAACAGAAAGCCAAGTGAACTATATGGATAGGGCGGCGCCCATCATCCAACTTTTCATATAAATCGCTACAAATTACAGACACGATTGCACTAATTTTAATTAAATTAGTTAAAGCAGTAAGTTCATCCTTAGTGAAAAAGGAACCAATTTGTAAACGTGGTGAATCTGAAACTGAGGGACAGGACACAACGCAGGAAAATTTATTAACTTCTTGTTCTTCAGGAATTGCAGATTGTATAATTTCTATATCAAACAATTTTACTGCCGTTATTTTCAACACTTAGGGGGTAATGCAATATTCATGTCTTCAATGATGTCTCTGTATGATATGTTGTTAGTATGTCACAGGCTAGTAAGGCATCAACTAGGTAAAATTTAGCAGACTAAGTCCTGGCAGAAATCGTTGACGTACGACAGATATTATCTGTGAAGATTGTGACTAATTGACGTCATTGCTATTAAACCCCCATTAAACACAATTAATAACTTGAGAGAAGACAGCTTACAAAGACATTCAGTTGGATTTATTGACTTAATTTGCGCCAGTAAAGCTGCTTTCAAAAAGCAGTACTAGTCGGGTTAGAATGCTGGGCAAACATAAACATAAACTCCTTTCATGGTCGAATTTCCACTGGGTTAATATTAATTTTTACTTTAAACTTATGTTTAGTGTTCATGTGTTGATTTAATAGATAGTCCTCAACTCATTGCATTTACAACATATTATCTTCCAAAGTCAGCATATTTAATGAAGGGCATGGATATTACATTGTTCCCCTAAATGCTTGAAATAACAGTAATGTAATTAATGCTAATTATGAAACCTACAAAACCATACCTTATAGCTGTTCAATAAGTAGTTTTGTTTGCTGATCGACTATTAAAACAAAAAAGGTAATTTCCACTTGACTAGGATTCAAAGTAGGGCAATAGGTGTGCGTTAGCATATTTATTAGTTATGCGGTTTTTAATTCCACAGAGATACAGACTGATTCGGGGAAAGATGTGTGGGCAATTCCGAATTAAAACAGGTTTTACAAATATTTGTAATCAACGATTCGACTGACGATGCATTGGCAAAAGGACTCTTCTTCAGCATTATCACATAGACCCTATTGAGACTTTGATGACTTCCAAGGAAACAAATTTATTACTAGGCCGACTTCGGGAGACAAGGGCGTTTTCATATAAACTATTCTACAGAGCATTCCCGACCTTGTCTACCTTAGTCGACCTGAAATCCACATTAAACATTACTCGATACAGGTATTAATAATACCAGTGGTCATTTCTTGTGGCCTTATCGAATATAACACCCCCTCCTCTCTCTCTCTCTCTCTCCCCCCCCCCTCCATTCACTTGGAACGACATAAAACAAACACTTAGTAAGATTTAAATCATTGTCAAGGGACCATATCATATACATATATTTCACGGGAGGAAGCAATTTTGCAAAATCAAATAACATGTTGTATTCGCGTGCTTTTATTTCACGCTGACTTTCGGTTCCGTATAAAAGAAGGCACAAATAGTCAAAATTCAGCAGATGTGTATTTATCTCGGTAATTAAGGTAAAATTGATGATAATAAACGTATCTAGATAATCACGGATACCTAGTTTTGTGTATTTGAAATTCACTGGGAGGTTTAGTGTTCAGAACTAGGGCGATGCCAATATGAGTGTCACGCTGACAGGTCAGTGAATAAACATTATTAAATGACCTCTAAGTTGACACATTAACTGAATGTTAAAGAAACAAACTGTCTATAATCTAGATATAAGGTGAATAGAACTGCATAATAAACCACAGATTCTAGCGGATAATGTTAGAGTGTGGCAATAACTTTCTTAGAGTTATTTCCCTTAGGCCATGAAATACAGTTTCACGACACGCCCGTTAACTAACTGTTGGGGTTTATAACCAGAATGGACAGAGTACGTACACTCCTCAAATGTGATACATTTATCACTCATGTATGAAAAGTATTGTTTTATTTTCCGTCTCTCCATATCCATCAAATTTTCAACTCTGGTGTTACCAGGTTCATGTGTAGCCAAAACCTGAAATGGGGCGTACTACATGTAAGGTTCTTCCATGATAACGGGATAATTAGACCTACATATAGATTGAAATCAACGTATCATCACATTACT